ACAAGAAGCACCCACAGGCCTTGGATACCCTACTGGAAATTTATGCGAATGACCTGCAGCAATTGGCAACGAAAGGTTTGACTGTTCATGAAGGGGGCAAACCAAAACACCTTTTCTTCATGTGCATAGCCGCGAAGGGTGATCTTCCTTATCTAGGAAAGTGTGGTCACATGTCGAGAACGTATTCCAAGTGTCCGAAGAAAGCTTTCGCGAAGAAGGCTTGTGATGGTATCTGTTGGCGATGCCTCGCAGGAATGGAAGGGCGTGAAGAATCCTGGCCATGGGAGCAGTTCAGCACCCGACCTAAGTGGTTGGAAACTGTGGGCGTCGAACCTGGTTTCCAATGCGTTGGCCCGCTCTTGGCAATACTGCACGATGATCCCACCTTGTTCTACCAAAGCGACCTTTGGCATAGCTTTCATTTAGGCTGTGGAAAAAGTTTCGCAGCGTCTGCTATTGTGATTCTTCTTGATAAGATGGAACACTTCAGGTCGATGGATGACCGTCTGCAAGTGCTCACTTCGGATTACAAAAGCTTTTGCAAGCGTACGCGCAAGTATGCTTACATCACGGTAATCAATCGAGACTTGCTTGGTTGGGAGCACTTCGGTGACATGCCCCAGGGGCACTGGCATAAAGGCTTCGTCACAACTCGTTTGTTGGAGTGGCTGGAAGATTACATGGACCAGAAGCACAAGAATGACCAGGATTCTTTCTTGAGAGAGATCGAGCCTCGGAGCTTTAAAATAATTGCTAACTTGAACCCCCAGTATTTTTCTAATGTACCTCACGTACAGGACTAGTTCCGCTGAATGGCTACCTATAATGGTTTTATATTGTTTATTATATAATCGATTATAATCGTTTATACACTGGGCGATGTACGTATCAAGCATTGTTTTAATTTAGTTTGTAGTGTAGGGAGCCTCCTAATGATCAATACCGGTCAAGCCCTAGAAACAAAAACCGTTGCTGCCCAGTCTGTCTTGTGTTCGGTTCATATTACGGACCCATGCTTTGATCTATGTATAGTTTATATGGTTGGGCTCCATGCAGAGTCTGCTTTGTAGAAAGATTCGGGTTGCTAATTTTTCCCAAAGGATCCAACGGTGCCTTTTGCATCTGGTAGTGAGAGCTATCACGTGAATTTTTGACCTTTTTTTAATTTTTGTATTTTTTCAAAGCCAATCTTCGATCCATATGAGGTTCTCACGATGGCGGCTGCAAATGCATGCCTGCGAGGCCTCTACATGTCTGGTGTTTGGTTGCGTTCGCGTGAAGGCCATGCACTCGCACTGAATGGAATCAGATTCCTGGCGGGGTATGGTCGTCTTGCCAAAATGGCATTTTCTGCTGGCATACGGCGATTCGTACTACTGCCAAAGCACCATTTTTTCCACCATATCATGGTGGATATGATGGGGTCGAGCAACAATTGGGTTTTGAATCCGCTAATTCATAGCGTTCAGTTACAGGAGGACTTCATTGGCAAGCCAAGTCGTGTGTCTAGGAGAGTGTCAGCGAAAGTGCACGCTCTTCGGACGCTGCAGAGGGTCCTCTTTGCGATGTTCGCGGAGTTCAAACGGCAAGAGAAGCCCAGGTGATTGCTTTAGGTTAAGATGTTAATAAAGCACAAATGATGGCCCCAGTTTCGCCAGCTTCTCGTGCTATCGTTTGCATGTATGTTTGCAGCTCCCGAGAAAAGGACAGTTTAGAGATCCGCATTCCAAATCAGAGCAGATCATCACACATTACAAGCCATATAGCATCTACAG